ACCTCGACTTCGGTGTCGGTGTGGAGGGTGCCGTCCGTTATTTAGGTAGTACCCAGCCGTCGTCAGTGTAGTGGTGTTCGTTTGCGAATGTAATGTGGAAGTATTGTGAATGCTGATAACAAAAGAAATAATTTAACCCGACATCCGAGAAAACTAGAATAGTGGAATATTGTGTATCATTCCAGCTATTGTTCCTAGCATCAACAATTTTCAAAATTGGAGACATCTCAGACATGAGCTTCCTATTGTAAGTACTGCTCCCTGCGTTCTCAGGTACCTTTGCTAGACATTAAGTAGCCTACTGATGATAATTGGAATAGTGTGATCCTGAGAAATGTGGCAGCCTGTCAGAAGCTTTTTACCTTTCCGTTGTAGTTACATTTATTATTAAAAAAATCATTAGCTGTAGGTAGTCAAAATTAATTTTCATTGACTTAATTTTTGCATTTTCTATGTTTAGTTATTGCAATGTCATATTTGTTGTTTGTTGCTGTTACACATTTTTTGGGGGGGAAATGTTTGCTTTAAGTTCCTTTTATGTTGCAAATCTTTGTGAGGTGGTTACTGTTTTGGGGGTCACAACCTCAATAGTCAAACATTTACTACCACTACATTTTCACAATTTACGAGGCCTGTTCGACAGGTTTAAAAAAAATTACTTATGAAACAATTGATAATACTTGAAAGCATTCTTTTTAAATGGTGCAATTGCTTCTTCCGAGCATGCTTCTTCAAAAAATTGTTTGCTTAATTAAAACAAGTTTCTGTTGCTTTTTCTTTGCAGTGGAGGCCGTTCATCTAAAACTTTTAAACCAAAGAAAAATATTCCTGAAGGGACTCATCAGTATGACCTAATGAAATATGCTGCTGCCACGCTTGGGTCAGGAAATTTGCGACTGGCTGTTCTGCTTCCAGAGGGCGAAGACCTGAACGAATGGGTTGCAGTGAACAGTAGGTTTCAGTTTTTAAACAAAAAAACTATAGTTCAGCTTATTTAAACCTCATTCTGCTTGAAAAAAAATCAGGATTACTTCTTAAATTATTTCATTCTTTACAATCTTTACATTTTTTACAGCTGTTGACTTTTTCAACCAAATAAATGTGCTCTATGGCACTATCACTGAGTTTTGCACTGAGGAGGTATGCCCTATCATGTCAGCCGGGCCCAAGTATGAGTATCATTGGGCGGATGGACATACTTTCAAAAAACCTATCAAATGTTCTGCACCTAAATATGTGGATTATCTTATGACATGGGTTCAAGACCAGTTGGATGATGAAACTATTTTTCCGTCCAAAATAGGTATTATATTTTAATTAATAGTTTTACTTGTGCCCCCTTTTAATATTATTTGACTTGTATTTACCCTCTTTGCATGTGTTTGGATGACAGGTGTCCCATTTCCAAAAAATTTTCTTTCAATAGCCAAAACAATTCTCAAGCGGCTGTTCAGGGTTTATGCACATCTGTACCATCAACATTTCTCAGAAGTGGTACAGTTAGGGGAAGAGGCCCATCTTAATACATCTTTCAAACACTTTATCTTCTTTGTGCAAGTAAGTCAAATCCTATTTCTCTGCTGCAAATTATTTTAGAGAAATCAGCTAAAGGGGGAATTTGAGCCCTACCTGTTCCTAAGTGGTCAAAGTGGTTCCTCATTTTGACGTCTGTCTGCACTCATCCTGATGTCATTGTGACTCAATATTTTATCCGCAAGTCACAATGACATCAGGATAAGTGAAAAATGAAAAAAAGAAAAATGTCAAGTTAAGAGACCATTTTGATGTCATGGTGACAGTCAGGGCTCAAATTCCTCCTTGGGAGAGACCAGCAATTCTTTCTGGAATTTAATTATTTCTCTGCCCTACTAAAAGCAAATTGTGTTTGTTTGTTTGTGTGTGTAGGAATTCAATCTTATTGACAGAAGAGAACTTGCTCCTCTTCAAGAATTAAGTGAAAAATTCACTGCAGGGGAGCGATGAGACTCATATTTAGACAAGTGATATCAGATGGGAGCTTGCTATTCTGATCTCATGTAGTTAGATTTGCATTGGGTTGCTTTAATGTGTCTTGTTTTAGCCGTGATGTGCACTGCCTCTTTTTGTTTCCAAGAAATTGTGCTGCCTTAAAGATTTGGAAAGATAGATTCAATTGTATTTGTTTATTATAGCCAGTTTGTAAATCTGTATTCTAATATATGTCTTTTTATGAACATGGTAAATACAGGAAGACTGCGTAAGACCAACTTTTTATACAAAACTAAAACTTAATCCATCCTAGTTTTTTGGATGATGTCGTAGTTTTTTGAATTGAAATTTGATAGATATATTTGTGGTGAGGCTAAATAATCAACTTAAAGCAACTATTCTTTGTTGATTTACCAACATGTGAGAATGATATGTTTGTCTACCACTATTACCCAAAGAATGAATAAAGTAACTTTCTATTATTTTGTTGCAATGAAATTTTAGGGTTAAAGTCACATTGGTGCAATAATTGTAATGTTGCCTCAAATATTCAGAGTTGCTATGATGTCCATTTCTTAAATTTTGACTACCAAAGCAGTAACTCATAGATGATAGTTAAAGATATTGTAATTTTTGTCTGTTAACTGTATAGTTTATATCTTACGAGCTATGAGAAAAGCTTTCATGCCCAAGTAAGAAACTTATCGACTATTAGACTTATTATTATCTTTCTAATTCTTACTGTGACTAAAGAAGTCATAGGAACAGTGTGAGTTAGAGGGATGTATTGTTTAGCTGGAAGCACTTTTGTTTTGTAAACTGTTACTTGCAAACATTCAATCAAAAGAATGTGCTCATACCCTTGTAAATATGTATAATTCTAATTCTCTTTGAATGACTAGGTGTGTGTTTGGATGTGCATATATGAGTCTTATTATTTATAGTTGTATAATTAGGCTGTTGCGAGATACATAATGTCAGTATATCAGGGATCCTAAATTTGTTTTACTGGTGTTGTTTGTTTTTGCCTTTCAAAATAAGTGAGACCCTCCTTGGGTTTTGTTTTGGACAAGTTACAATATTTCTTATGCCATATTTGTTGTTAATTCCCACATTGATAGTAATTTTTGTTTCAAATTATTTCTGTATTCTATGAACTATGTCCTCTGCACCCTCAGGTTGCTTGACACACCACAAAGTGGTTATAATGAGGTTTTAGAACAATCAAAAGGCTATCAATCACCTCAAACACAAGTAACTAAGTCTATGTATGTAGTGCAATTTTCAAGATGCATATCACTCTTTCCATGCATTTCTGTCACAGCTTCTTGATTATCTTTTTTTCCATGTCATTCGTTATTTGTTATGAGAAATAGATCAGGTAGTAAATGATGTGCTTTCTCACCTATAAATGCCAGTTTCTCACAAATCTTTTGTCAAAGTCTATGATTTGTGCTCATTTTTTAAATTTATTTTTTGACAGTTCTTAAAATCCAATGATTGTAGGCATAGGAATTCATTAATTACTGTAGGAAAGTATTTTTTAGGGCACTGCTTTGGCTTAAGGTGCAGACTCATCAAGAATATACCATTAGACTGTTGTTTGATAAATTGTGTACTTTTGACAAATCTTTTGGAAAATTACAACAACAAAAAAAACAAAAAAAAGTAATTGGACTTGGGAACCATATTCTTACCTTAAATGTGATAAAGCCTGTTGGTGAGACAAGGGTTTGGAACTGGCTTGTGATTTTTAACAAACTCAAAGTGGTAGTAGGAACTGTAGAAACCTTCGCACTGCTAAGACTTTGTTGAGTATTTTGAATTGTAATTGTCAGCAAACATTTCCATTTAATAAATTCCTTCTTTCTTCTGATGTGTACTACCTGTCTTCAAAACATTTTGAAAATGTGGGAAATGTTTTAAAGCTCTTCATGGACTGGTATTTCATGATGAATTTATAAAGAATCATTGATACAAAATACAAGGTTTATTACATACACTAGAAAAATCCTTTTCTGTTATTTTCACTATGCCTAACCCCTCCAACAAATGCCTGTTTAAAAGTTTTGTCGCCTTACATAGTCCCATTTCAAATTAGTACCACAGGAAAATTGCAAAATATAAAAAGATGTTGAAAGTGGCAAAATTGACACATGTAACAATTATGTGCTCATTAAATAAATCACTATGGGCAAATTCTTTTTTTAACAAATTTTAGATGAAACAGTTCAGGGCTGTTGAGTAGTCATAGAGAGACGAGAGTTAAAACATTAGAAGGGGAAATACCAGCCTTACAACCCAACACATTAGCAAATTTTATTTGAAGACAACTGTATCCAGCATTGCTCCAAGACATTGAACAATGTTGGCAGCCATAAGTACATCAACCTTTTCTTCTAAATGTCTCTTTGGATCTTGTTTTCCTACATTTTTAATTGCAAGCTGTTCAGGTGTCATTTTTTCTTCATCCTCCAAAGCCTGAAAAAAATTACATGCATGTATGAATCAATTAAACGAAAAATAATTTGCCTGAAAGATAAAATATCTTACAACAGAAGAAAACAACAAGAATAACTTTTTTACGTGCAAATAATGCCTACTAACTTTGTTGTAATTCTTGGCAAGGTCAAGCATGTTCGAAACAGTATCTTCATTAAGTTTGCAGTGTTCAGCATAATCAGCAAGAGTCAGACCATCCATCCAAGACTTTTTATGTAAATTAAGGAGCATTTTCTGCTCAAGTTCATTTTTCCTGTAGTTAATACTGATGGAATAATAGTGACGATTCAAGCCATGTATTAAAGCCTGTGAGAAAAAAATTGATAGATTGATTGCGCTTCAAAACACAAGTATCTTCAACTAAAACTCCAGCAAACCTGAACAGAAGGCTTCTGTAGATGCCCAAGGTTGGATGTGGTTTGTCTAGGTTCTTGCCCCAGAACCATCATGTTGGGATTGATGAGCCGGAATGCATCAATCACAACCTTGCCTGTAAACAAAGATAACTTGAGTTTGATTACATTTTCTTACGAAAGAAGAGAAAATGATCATATTGAACCCACCTTTAACACTCTGAATGGGGTCAACAACAACTGCAACAGCTCGTTCTGAAAGTGCCTCAAAGCTTTGCTGTGTGTTGATATCGACCCCCGAAAGCCAGCAGCCGAAACCAGGATGAGAGTGGTACCAGCCAACAACCATTTCTGGCCTACCAGTTTGTTTTAACATATCCAACATTTTGGCTTGAAAGACTGGGTCAACAGCTTCAACACTAACACCCTGTTAAGTAAAAATTAGAAAGTTAATAAAATCAGAGAGTTCAAAGACACACTCAATCTGTATTGTGGATGAATTAAAAATCAGTTAAGTTAGGAATCTAAGTTCATGAATTCTGAACAAAAAGTAAACTTACAGTTCCTGTCTGTGGCATTGCAAATACATCAATAACTCGAACTGTGTAGTCGTCGACAAACTCTCCCAGCATCAACCCCATCACTTCCATGGGGACGCCAGCACGTCCATGTTTCAACATTTTCAGCAATGCCAGGGAAGATATGTAAACTTGCTCAGCAGTATCAACTGCAGGGGCATCAGAAGAAGGTGGTGGCTGGCTTAAACCAGGCATTCCCCCACCTAGCCGGAGAAGGCGATCCATGATTTCCTAAATGAAAACAAAAAAAAATTAATAAAAACAACTGAAAATCTTAGAGAACATTCAAAACTTGGAATGAACAGCAGAATGGTAACAAAGAGACCAAACCAAAACTCTGTCTGATATTTCATATAAGTTGGACAAAATGCTAATATGTCATCTGTCAACCCCAATATAATATAAGACGTAATATGAACAGTGCTATTAATTACAAGGCTAATTGCCAAATGACTAAAATTCAAGAGTATGAGTTTTCTTTTCGTAATAAAGAGTGTGAATTACGATTCTTCTCGGATAAAGGCAAAATTGTAAGACACTGAGTCGGTGACATGCAAAAAAGACACTCAAGAGTGTTAAGAGGTTAGGTGTCTGTCGCTTTAAAAACTTGAACAAAATCAAGATTGAAGAGGAAAGTGATAAGTTTTCGATTAATAAAAAAACTGGTAGAACAGTTCAAAACACACAAGAGGCTTACTTTGATGTGAAAATTGACTTTATCTTCAATTAAAACAGAATTCAAGCCCGCTTTGTCACCGTCGGTGCAAGAACAATGTCGGTGTGTCGGTGTCTGTTGTGCCCTGTTCACTCACTCACGCTGTAGTTCTCCCGGATGGAATGAATGGTTTTCTGGTATTGTGAAGGTTGGCAATGGTGGTCCTGGTACACAAAATGTCGTCTTGAGTGTTGGTAATCCAGCAGGCTCTGAAATATTCCGACAGATAATAACAAATGTTGGATTAGATGTGTAAAATTCACTTTATATTGGTGAAGGATCTGGTAGTTGTACCTGTTTTACAGTAGGTTTAGCTCTAAGGAATATGAAGAGAAGAAATGCCGACTGTAAGCTTCGGAGGCCGTTAAAGAAAACGAAAATAACGGATGGAATTTGGGGAAGGTAAGGCACTTCTCCATATGTGTTTCAAAATGGCTGACATATAACCCTATCACCCTTTACTTTCTCTTGACTGGGCGTCTTTGAAATAACCCTTTTACTGACCAACCACTTGTTTCGAGGGATTTGCGAATTTTTTAAGCTAGTTAATTCTTGATCGGTGGCTCCCACCTATCTCTATTGTTTGTTGTCTTAAGTGTTGTTTTTTTTGTGTGCCTCCCCATCCTGTTTTCTTTCCAACTCTTAGCTTATTATTTTGATTTCAGTTATTTCTCTGGTCTCTCTTTCCTCTGCATTATATATATATATCTCTAAAAAGAAGTCCATTTTAACCCTTGTCAGTTTTTATCAGACTTGTTTTCTGATCTATTATCTACCACTACCACTGTCATTCATTCATTGTAATATTAACAATTCTGATTTCTTCTTTCATTCAATATCTCTTGTTTATATTTAGTCCAGTGATTTTTCTATGGATCACTATGCTCTTGACCCCTATAAATGTATTTTTTACATTATTTTTTTTTGTGCTGTTCATGTGTTTCAGTTCTTTGTTGTACTTGAAGTTCTTTGTGCTATGGGCGCTGGTGCTCCTTGCAGACTTCCTCCTTGAATTCAGATTTGAATACTTGTGGCCATTTTACTTACTTCTTCGGAGTGTTTACGATTCATTCAAATATCAAGGCCTGGTAAGTGTCACAACTTCACATTTCTTGTTTTGATTAGTTTTGAGTTTTGTGAACTGTCATATGTTTCTGCTTTCAGGCCTTCTCAGTCTTTTTCATCTGTATAGCATTAACATCAGATATGATCTGTTTGTTTTTCATTCCTGTGCATTGGTTATTTTTTGCTGCAAGCACATATGTTTGGGTGCAGTATGTTTGGCACACAGGTAGGACAGTGGGGAAGTAAATAAACTTAAACAGATAGCAAAAATATTTATTTTATTTTTGAAAAATTTTGTTGTCTTACAGAGAAAGGTCTTTGTTTGCCCACTTGCATCCTGTGGATGGTATTTGTATACATGGAAGTAGCAGTGAGGCTACGAGATGTACGTCACATGCCATTCCATTTAGATCTTTGTAGACCCTTTGCAGCTCACTGGTAACTTTTGAAATTTCTCTCTGCTTATTCCTGGACTGTTTGTATCAGATGATTTTATTTAACTGTTATCTCTTTTTCATTTAGCATTGGATATCCTGTAGTAACTTTAGGATTTGGTTTTAAAAGTTATATTGGTTACAGAATGAGACAGGTAAGAATCAAACTTTTAAGAACATACTGTACCTAAATCAATAGAGTTCTAGAAATCTTTTTGTGATATTCTCAAATTTGCTCTACCCACCAGAGAAAACAAAAAGATGTAGCAAAAGAGAATGAATTTTATATGCAGTTGCTTAGACAAGCATTACCCCCAGAGGTGCAACAGCAGCAGCTTCAACAACAACAACAGTTGCAGCAGCAACAGCAGCAACACCAACAACAACAAAGTCAACCTCAGTCAACCCCTGACAAAGTTAAAGGTACTATCATAAAGTTTTCAATTCCAGGAAATCTTTTAATTGAATACAAGGACAGTATCAGAAATGTTTAAATGTTGCCAGGTGAAACTAATGGTGTTGCTCATCAAGTCATAACAAACTCAATTCCCTTAGCTAAGAAAGATCATAAAAAGCATCCAGAAAAGGGGGAACGTGATAAGGAGAAAGAGAAAGTAGTCCCTCAAACAAACGAAACTGCTGCAGAAAAATGCACGTACAAATTTTCACATTCAAATGGGTCTCTCCTTAATGGAGACATCGAAATTATTGAAAGAATTGGGTATGTGTGCATTCTTCTCAAAATACCATTTGGCTTTCAAGAATGCCCTCCTTAGTTTGCTTGATCTATCATGTGTATTATTAATTGTGTATTTTTTATATTCAACTTTTTTAAGATCTGTCAATGATTTTGATGAAAATGAAGAGCATGACAAAAGTGTTAAAGGCTGTCAAAGTCTGAAATCCCATGGATCTAATGGATCAACAAACAGTAGGTGGACCAGTTCACAAGTCAGAGAAAATTCTATGAATACTCAACGCGAACGCCGAAATAAAGCGAACAGAGACACATCAGATAGCTCCAGCAATAGTTCATCAAGGGATGACTATTATCAGAGGTATTAGCCTTTAGAATGTTATTTTTAAAATTTTCTTTCATTCCATCTTATATTACAAGCATATCAAAAGAGCAAGCTCTGTCCAATTTATTGTTCCTCATAGCTCATCTGTTGTTTTTTATAGTTTTTATTTCTTTAAGTTTTAGATTTTATTGCACGATGACGATGATTGTTGAAGACTATGTATACTACTTTTATTGTTTCATTGTTTTGCTATTAACAGGTTGGAGGCTGACGTAAAGAGACTTAAAATTGACCTTCAGTCGAGCCGTCAAACAGAACAGGACCTGAGAAGTCAAGTCACTACACACCAGCTAGCAGAAAAAAGCATCAGATGTGAGCTTGCTCAGTGTCAAAAAGATAATGAAGAGCTTCAGGCTAAGTAAGTTTTTGTAACTTTTTTCATGAATAGGCTTCAGTTTCAATCGTATCTTGTGAAGATTTGTTGATGAAGTGTCAGACAAACTGTTAATGTGTGTTTCACCCTACAGATTACATGTTCTGGTGTCAGCTCGTCAAGCTGACAAGCAAATAATGGCTCAAAATGAAAAAAAGTTATCAGAAGAGCGGCGTTTGCGCTCTATTATTGAAAGTCATCTTGCTGCTGAGCGCAAGGCAAAAAAGGCTGAGGATGCAGCAACTGCAAGAGCTGTTGCAATGGCCGCGGCTGCAGCAGCATCTGCAGCAAACAAGTGAGTCCCAAATTTGTTTTGTTTCAAGTTCCTACATTTGAAGCATGTTCTGTGTGTTCTGATTCTGAAGGGGTTCTTTTTTGTTACATGTATTTATTTATTTTATTTTAGATCTGAGTGCACAGAAACCTGTAAAGTACGGCGCCGTGAACTTGAAACAGAAAATAAACAACTTCAAAGAGAGTTAAAAATAAAAGAAGACCACATTACAACTTGTGAGAGAGAAATATTTGTAAGTTCTAGCTTCATTTTGGAGAATTCATTGATTGGTGTACTGTTCCCACACATTTTCCTTTATTTCTTTTTCCAGAGTTTGCGACAATTTAAGGAGAGTCAGACAGACACTGAAATTCTCATGACAGCTTTGTCAGCAATGCAAGAAAAGAATTCTCATTTAGAAAACAGCCTAAGTGCAGAAACACGGATAAAACTGGACCTCTTCTCCGCTCTTGGAGAAGCAAAAAGACAGTTGGAAATACGAGACAGTAAGTACAGCATTTACAATTCTGCTGAACATCTAGAACATTTTAAATTAAAATGTAGCTTATTTCCAATGATGAATGTTTTGGTCGTTAAAAATTTATCGGGTCAGGATACATGTCACAAAAGCTGTTGTATATTGTATTAATTTCAATTCCCACAGCTTTACGACGTCAACAAGAACATGAATTTGAATCATTAAAAAGCAAAATGGCACAAGTTTTGGCTGTAATGCCAACGGATTCATTTGGACCCTTACCTTCAGGAGCCACATCAAAACTACTTTTAACAGAAAACACTGGTTGCACCATGTCAACATTGTCTAATTTGGATCCAAATGCTACTGCGTACACACCTAAAGGCTCAAATATAGCAGCCTCGACAGAAGCTTGACAGTTCACATGTGCTGTCTAAGTTAAGGAGGTGTGTCTCACTAGTGCATGTTAATTCAACTCTTCACCTGTAAACAGAGCCTGAATTTGAAAATCATTTAAGCTATGGCATTTGTAGAGTGCTGAAAATTGTGGAGAAACCATGGAATGTTTCATCAAATCTTCAGCTATAAGTGAGGATTTGATTTTCTGTAAGTTATTTGTTTAAATGTATTACTTGAACATCAGACTTGTCTCCAAAGACTAGTACAAGTAATAAGTTCTACAATATGTGCTCATTGTATTTTTTTTTTATTTTATTTTTTTTGTCACCTTGCGTAAGATTTTATTCAGAGCATAGAAAGTATATATAGGATGGTAGATGATAGGAATGACTTTCTTTTTTATTCAGAGGTCTTGAGTAATCCCTCCTCTCTGAGACTTTGTTTATTTTGCTTATTTAATCTTTCATTTCTTTGAGAGCTTCTGGTATGGTTTTCCTATATTATTTTCTCTGTCAAGTTTATGTGTAGTCATTCTGATAGCAGCTTTAAGAAGCACCAATTTTAGGCGGAGTGACAAAAATTTCATCTAAAAGATATAGGTGTGCACAGTGTACTATAAATTCCCTGAGACTTACAGGAACCAAATCTTAAAATTTATGTGACATAGATTTGAGATTTTCAAATGCCGGCTTTTCATTCTTTTGTGGTGAACTACTGTAACAATATAATGAACTTCAGGCGTTCTTGCAAACTTGGATTCTTTAATCACTGTAAACTAGATATTTGAGGTTATAGCTTTTTATTTAAGAGCAGGATACTAGTCATTTTAATAATTTTAGAGTGAATTTGTACAGGTCTTGTAGGTTTATGGACTTTGGCACTTTGATGTACTCCTATTAATTGTCCTCATTTTATTGCCTCATTGAATACCAACCTGTTGTAGTAATATGATATGGACAATTTCCCTATTTGAATGGCTGTGTCCACTTAACTTGCTCTGTCATATGAATTGAATCATAAAACAAGGTATTACGTACTTTCATTGTTGTTGGATGCATGTGGCACTGATCGTGATGAAGTGAAGAATTTTGTAATCTACCATTTCAGTTCAGACAACACCATTTCATTTTATTCTCAATTGAAACTATTTGAGGTGTTTGAGAGCATCTGCAATTTAAGATGTCTGTGTTCTAGATTGCTCTTTGAAGTCTCTTGTTCTCGAGATTATTTTGAAAGGAAATACATTTTGCTTTCAGCTTCTGTAGATTGCATATAGATTCAATTGTCAATAGATGTTGACAACAAGAAAACTCTGTCAATACATTCAAGTTACTTTTCAATGTTTCCTTAATATTGTGTTAATTCTCTTCGCAAGTGAATTTCTCCTGCGTTCCTGCGTGAAGAATTATCGGTCAACTCTGCTGTAGATGCCAAGACTTACTTTTGTTTTATGTTTGTGTAAGGTACCTCATAGTGATCAGTTGTAATCAATTTTGTTTCTCTTTGTTCCTGTAATTTCGTGGATGGCTTAATCCTTTTCTTGTTTGCTTTTGAACCAGCAATCAGTATGTTACTTACAGTTTTATTCATACATTGTTCATACATTGTCAAAATTATGAACAGGATTACCAACCCCCAACTAAACTTACAAGGGTATGTTTTCCGGTGATACTATCAGAAACCAGTGGCGCTTTAAAATGTTGTTGACACCCTTAGGCACCCGTTTTCACTGCCCATAGTGGGGTTTGAAGATAGCTTCAAACGAGTGTTCAGAAAACCCTCCAATTTAAAAAGACAGTACATGCATGCTGAGATATGGTTTTCTGTAAAATCTGGGTACTGTTGCTCAAACGGTTCCGAGATGCATGCATGTAAAAGTCATTCTCAGGTGATGAATTCAGAGTAATTTCTGTTAAAGTCATGTGAAACAAGCTTCAAACCCCCTACAGATGGCTAAAACTGGTACCAAACCTCATCTAAGGGTGTCATCAACAACATTGTGAAGCACCATTGAACTTGACCGTATGTTATAAAACATTCCCTTCCTAGCTCTGCATTTGTTGTGCTTATCACTGAACAACTACCACACACTACCGTGTTGTCATTAAACAAGTTGAGGAGAAAAGCAAATTAATGAGGCTGTTTAGTTTGCCCTAAAAGCTGTCTATTTTCTTGTGACTGCAAGAATCTAATTTAGAAAATTTGGGTGAAACATTGGTCATTCAAAAACTTATCTTTCTTTATTTACAAAATCTTATTGAATACATCTGTAGTTATATTTTAATGTAGTCTATAGGTCTGGAATCCCGGTGAATAATGTAAGATTTTCTGTGCTGTTATTTATGAGTTTCTGAGTTACTATGGAGCTGTTCGCATCTTCCTCTCGTACAATGCTTCCATCTCTCTGGCACAAAGATTCTAGACTGCAGTTTTTACTTAATATCTGAGGTCTTCCGTGCTATTTGTGTATGAAATCTTTCCCATACTTGACAGTAACAAAAACTGTGGCTGTAGTACAAATTTTGAAGGAATGTAAATTTTAATTGTATCTGACTCATGCGCTGTGATATCAGGCACAGCCAATTGCTGTTGTAATCAGCTAATGAATCGTGTGCTTCTAAAACATGTAATATGATAGAGTTTTCAACAGTTTGGCTACTGGTGATTTGGGGTCTTATTATTGTTCTGGATGATATTGTACATCTTGAAATAGCACAATTTGGTGATTTACAACTTGCCTGCCTTTTTGCAAAGTGTATAGACCTACCTAATTTATTTCTTGATCATTGTATAAGATGTGACTGAATTGTGAATGCTATATTTTTCACATACATATTGATTGTTCATTGAAGAATCTCGCACAATACTGATTATGATCAACAAATAATTCAGATTGCGTGCAAGACTGACATTTCTTTTTTGTGTTTTTGATGGTTGATTTTTTTTAACACAACTTGTACATTGTGACTAAACTAATGCAAAAACCATTGTTTTTTTGTCTAATACATGTTTCATGTTACTAGCTTCTTTCTTTTAAGCATACACTGTACCTCATTAAGGATTGCTTTATGTACATTGAACTGTTTGGCTTCCAAGACCAAACAACACAAAATAAGATTTCTTCATTTTGTAATGATTTTCTTTAAATTTTAAACTGGTTAATTGTTTAATTATTTGCATCTTCCACTACCATTCATACTGTATCAACAAGTTGTTTGTTTCTTCCTGTTTTTTTTTTTCTCCTTACGTCCTGACATGGAGTAACTAAGAAGCAATTCTAACTATTATTTTCATTTTGCGCTTTTTTCTTTCTTTTTGTTAAGACTATATGTTTTCATTGTACTGACATTTTGTCATATGAGCTCCCGTTTCTATGTTTTGAATGAATTGTGATTTCATTTGCTTATGGTTAATGTTATTTGTAGGTCACACAAATTTTCACATAATTTATTATTTGCTTAATTGTGATTACTGTTCTGAGTCGTTTTGGCTCCCAAACAGTTCTCCAGGATTATGTAATGTTATATACTTACTTTTTTGTTCAATGTTTGTCTTGCAGAAGAGTTATATTGACACAAGTCAATGTGGCTATAACAAAGTAACAGTTTTGTGCTTCTTCTGATGCATCAGGTATGATCTCAGTTATTGTTTTCGCAGTATGTGGTGTTTAAATGTATTCTCTTTTTCCCGTCTTCCTTTGTAAGACCTGGAGACATCCATCAAACTGTCCTGAACACAGTCCTAATAAACTAAGAATACTTAAAACAGTTTAGCATCTACAAGTGTAAATTATTTTAGTATTTCTCCTCCAGCATCCGTATTAAAACTCTGACTAGAGAATTCATGCCATTGAAATTTCCTCCCGTGGTTCTCATTGTTTTGTTGCACAAACTAACTAAAGAAAAATGATAGCTCTTTCTCTTGAATAGATAAAAGTACGTATAGACCTTTGTAAATACCTGGTTTCCAGTTGTTGCTTATCCATGAATCAACTTTACCCACACAACCAAGTACAGTATGAATTTGGTCATCTGTTTTTCTCTCATTCCCAGTATCAGTGGACACAATTATCACGGAATCTTCATAGTGGCAAAATTTTGCATCTTTTTCCTTGATTTACCCTAGAAACAAAATAATTGATTGATTGGGGAGTGCGGTCAGCAATGCCAATGCCAAAGCAACCCTGGTGGCTCAGGATTTCCATGGTCAAGCTGGAAGATAAATGTTGGAAGGGCCAGCCTGCTGTGCTTGCTCAATTGGGCTGAGGTTACCTCTTACCCTGCACTCTACCTACAAGACCTAGGGCCATAAATTTAACTTGAGTGTGCAGGTGCCTGTGAGAATCACACAAGGTAGGTGTGTGTAACAAAATAAAAGGAACAGAAAACAGCCACCTGAAATGTATAACAACGTTTATTGCTGATATATTTTATTCACATGATAAAAAATAAACTATGCACAAAATTAGGTTTATTTTTTATTTTATTTTTTAAAAAAAAAAACCACGTGATGTTAATAAGTAATCTTAAGTTTTATAATACATCACCACCAAACTCTGATCACTGCAAAATTGTGTTCTCTCAATGTTTTCAGCTGGTGGTTGGGGCAGTCTGCATAATTCCAGAAATGGAGAACATTTACAAAATTCACGTCATGTAGGGTTTTATGTACACAATAAACATCGTACTAGATGCTTTTAAATCAACTCAAAACCAAAATGTCACAGGCATGAGAGCTCAAATAATTCATTGTAATACCTTAGACATCAAGTAACAACATTAAGAATAATGATTTCTGAAGTTAAATTCACAACAAAAGATATTACTGTAAGCAAGTAAAAGCTTCACTGGGATAACAGCAAAAGATTCTTGCACCGGTACAATTGAACACAATACTCAGCTGCCATTAAACAGTCTCTTCAAGAACACTATTACGGAAATGCATTTGTACTGAAGTCACGTAAAATGATTACCATGATCTGGAGATGAGACAATAAAAACAATAGAAGAGGGCAAAAAGAAATCAAGGTGTAAGTATGTGATGTGGCTTTCATTTCAATGTACTCTGCAACTAATTGGTAGGGTTACTTCAAGAAAAAGTAGTTTGTAAGTGATTTGTGGCTCTCTCATCCTATGTAAATGAAAGAACACAACCTGGACAGTGGACACCCACAGACTTGATGTTACAGATACAAGTGTCCAGCACTTTTTTGCCACAAACATCATTAAAAGATTACCTAGATAAGTCAAGTTGAAATATAGTCATAAAAATCAAGATAAAAATAAATCAATGGGGCATAAGTTACACTACGAGTGATCAGTCTCGTTACTTATGTGATTCCATCCACTAAAATCAACATGTAGCACCAGAAGCTTTAAGTCAGTTCAATATCTAATAGAATGCACAGAATTGACAGATTTGTGCTAAGGATGAAATGTTTAGAGCACAAGCAAGAGAACTGAAAACAAGTTCATCATAAAGAAAATAAATCATCATTAATGTACTAGTAGAATATTTTAGGTAAAGAATCGCTTCTCCATTTTTCCACTCAAAATTTGGCCTAAATACAATTACTTGAAAGCAAACACAGAGATATTTAAAAATAAATATTTTAGGGAATGAGAGGTAAACCAATGCATCATAACAGAGAGGACAGGGTAGGGAGAGAAGGAGAGAGATAAATAGTAAGAGAGAGGAGAGGAGGAGGAGGAGGAGGGAATCCAAAGTGATGTTCATTTTTCTGCATTTAGTCTTGAAATTGAATGAAGCTTGAAGTCACCTAAGACATTTGCTTTCGTTGCTAATACTAGTCATGTTAAAGACCTCTGATTGCCTGGAAGCTAAATAACACATCCAAAATAAATGCTTGGGGTTATGTCATACTTCATTCCTTCACAAGACTAAATTCAGTATTAGTTGTTAAATAGATACCTTTCCCAGAGAGGAGTTGGCAGGCAATGCCAAAGGATACAGAAAAACAAAACTAAAAACAATCACTATTATGTGCCACATGCTAACCTGAATATTGTTAACTTATCTTTAAGATATAACTTACTACAGAGCACTGAATAATACTTTGTAAAAGTGTTTAAGACATTGCCAACAACAGCTCAGTTCGAAGCAAACAATTCCAAACACAACTTTTCTTTACACAAGCTTAAAATATTAGATAGAATAATAAAAATTAAGATTCATGGGGTTGGTAGTCCAGCCATGGCAAATCTTCAGACTCAGATAATTCATTGGGACATAAAATTTGTTCTAAAAGTTTTTGAGGAAAGATATAGATAAAATGGAAACTTTAAAAAAGAAAAAAAAATTAAAATAATCACATGAGTGGGTTAAGTAGCAAAACAAGGCACCACCTCGGAGCATCTCAATTTTACATAATGATTCATCAGATCACAACACAATCTCAGCAGGCTGAAAAACCTGAGAACTCTACCACAGAAACACGACCTTTGACATTAGCAATCTGGAGGGCATTTATCACACTGACCAGCTCTAAGCATGATCATAAGAGTATGTGTGCAAGTCAAGCCATGCCTTCTGGCACAACCTTTGTCAATCGACACAATTTACATAACAATTGAAAATTCTACACTTAAAAATAAGAGAGCAAAAAAGACAGTAGCAACTCACAAAACATACAGAAGTTATGGCTTGACAGCACACCATTATTGCCAATTCAGAAAATTGTCTTGTCACTGAAAGTTTGATCCTTCACAAAAAATTAATTAGTAATACAAATGTACATGCATGCATAGTGTTGAGCCAGGAGCTGAGCAAGGTCTTTTACCAGCCACGTACAGAAGTAAATCACTATCAGAACCAGAGGGCTATGACTTCCATAAGAAAATACATACAGGGAGCTGAGAGAGGGACAGGGGTCTAAAGTGTCCTTCTGTCTCATAACATATTCCTAAAAAAAAAACAAAAAAAAACACTGCAAGATACTATCTATCTTCCCAATAAAAAAAGAAGAAAAAGACCATCAAAACAAAAATGATTGCTTGACCTCATCTCAACATTGTCTCAAAGAATCAATCTGCCAGAGAACAATACTCAACAGAAATGTACAACACAAACATCATCCATGACACACAAGGGGCAATCTCTTTCTTTCTCATTACATTTACTTAAAATATTGTACATAATATGAGGCAGTCAAGAAAGCAGTATTCTCTTTTTGATAAATACTAATGAGGGCTATGGTTTAAACTTAACCAATGGTATGGTTTTGTTTTGTAAGCACTTGTCACAGACCCACTCTGCATATACTTCTGCTGTTAATAGTTGATAGGCAGCCTCAGTAATACCCGTACACACCCTGAAAGTTACAAAAACATAAGTAAGTGGCCGAGGCAAATAGATATGACTGAAATAATAACATTTACAAACCCATGAAGTTTAGCACAAACAAGAATACATGCAAATAAACAAAAATTACAAGAGAAAAAAAATATGGTATAAGTAACTTACCGGTGAAACCAGAAATTACAGCCTGATTCACACAAAATGGCCTGGTCATTATCATGGACCTCCTTATGACAAATCCCGCAGGGATAGATAGGAGGTGCATTTGGGTTTTGAGGATTAAACACCATAGGTTGGTCAGGAGGGTAGACCTGTAAAATGTAAAATTGTGAGTGGATTATCTAATAGAAGTAAAGAATTTAAAAAATATATATATTTCAACTATCATTACCTTTCCAGCCGACACTGGCATCGGCTTGGGACCCGGGAAACCATGAGGCATACCCATTGGATGCATGTGGCCCATGTTGCCACCCATAGAACTCATATGCTGCATATGCTGCATACCCTGAGGTCCAGGACCACCATGTAGAGGACCGTGCGGTGGACCGTGGGGCGGACCATGGGGTGGCCCGTGGGGTGGACCATGAGGCGGACCGTGGGGTGGCCCGTGGGGTGGACCATGGGGTGGACCGTGGGGTGGACCATGGGATTGACCATGGGGCGGTCCGTGGGGTGGTCCGTGGGGCGGACCATGTGGAGGACCATGCGGTGGACCATGATGATGACCCATAGGATGCATCATGCCAGAGCCACAGCTGTTACTGGGGCCATTGTTCATGGAAGGATTTGAACCCATGGGGGGGCCTGATCCCATGGAGGGACCTGAGGCTGGTCCCATTGGACCATTATTAATGTTATTCATAGGACTTCCCATTCGTCCTGAGTTCATGTGACCCAAAGGACTACCGATCGGAGGCCCACTGTTCATCCCTTGACTTCCCATAGGGCTAATGTGTGCCATAGGACTTGTCAAGTGCCTGTTCATGGGACTTCCACCTGGGCCACCAATTTGAGCTCCCATACCAGGGCTCCCCATTGGGGGACAGCTGTTCATTGGACTACTGAGTGGGCCACTATTTACACCACCGCCACCACTGCTCATTGGACTCCCAGCCATTGGGCTACCCATTGGAGGGCAGCTATTCATAGGTGGGCCACCCATAGAATTCATTCCTAAAGGGCTTGTGTTCATGCCAGAGTTCCCAAGAGGTGAGTTCATAGGTCCAGAATTCATAGGAGAATTATTCATTCCCATTGGACCCATAGGGCCCATACCAGGGCCACCCATGGGACCTTGCATGTTAGGGGAGCCCATCATTCCACCTGGACCACCCATACGAGGTCCTGGGCCCATCATTCGACTTGGGCCTGGGCCCCCCATTGGAGCAGAGTTGAGACCACCCATGCCAGGACTGCCCATAGGACTTCCCATTGGGCTCATGGCATTCATGTGATGCGGGTGGTGGGGATGGTGATTCATATGATGCATCATACCCATACCTGATGGGGGTGTATCATCAAATGGGTTTGATGCAATAATAGTATCACCATAACCTGTGAAAACATATTTCAAAGGATTAGAGTACAAAACAACACAGATAGGTTAATTTTCTTTTATAAGTTTTCTATAGAGGAAATCACCAGTGAGAGGGGGAGGAAGAAGATCCTGGACCTGAGGGGGCGGAGGTTGAGGTGCTGATTGGGCATTTGCTGCACTGGATGTTCTCCTTTTCTTTTTAGCATTGCCTGTGGTGGGTGGTGGTGGTGCCGGTTCTAGTGGACCACCTAGACCCCCGCCTAAAGGTGGCTTCAGATCCATGCTCATAGCACCCATCGGCATATTTCTGAAGGAAAAAATGAAGTAGATTAGCAATCATAGTCCTTTTAAAAGCTGATGCGCAACTTAAAAACTGAGTTTTAAAAAGTTGGTTTGGTTAATGTTCATATACTTATCCAAACTGGCAAGTAAATGAAAAAAAAATGACCATAGATGGTTTAAAAGAAACTGTTTAAACTGTTTTGCTGTTTTTTTTTGTCTTTCGCTTCTAAATGTTCAGTGCCAGTTATTGAAATATAAGGGAATAAACATGAACAAGTTTAGCTGTTGGCACTGCACAAGTTAGCCTGATTTCATTACTGTGAAAATTATTTTACAAATAATGATTGGGCAAATGAAAGCTTGAGGGACGGAACCCAGAAGAGAAATAATCCTTCCCTTTTCATTCAGAATGTTCTTCCTAGTCTTGATTACATTGATAGAAAATTAATTTCCCCAATAATAGAAAAGAAACAAACATGAAAACATCAGCGCAAAGCAAAATGATTAGATGCTACATGCATAGCAGCTCAGATCCAAAACCTGTGGTGGAGACCAGTGACTTATTCATCCATCCCAATTTTCAACTTAATAACAAAAATGATTGCTTGACCTCATCTCAACATTGTCTCAAAGAATCAATCTGCCAGAGAACAATACTCAACCTGATATATTTTATTCACATGATAAAAAATAAACTATGCACAAAATTAGGTTTATTTTTTATTTTATTTTTTAAAAAAAAAAACCACGTGATGTT